ATACAAATAGTGCCTTCAGATTAATGTATACTCTTCTAAATTTAAGACTGATAAATCATGTGGTTTAATAGAAGTATATACTTTAATACAAAGTTGTTTGCTCTACAGAGGTTTTTTGGCACCAAGGATTTTACTAGTGGCCTGAAAATGTACACTTTACCTACTGCTACTACACTGTTCCCTCCCTCTTACTTTGCCCCTGAGTACACTTTACTGCTAATGTCTTTCTCTAAAATGTTTGTTAATTGTTTTCATTTGAAGGCACAATATTTGCTCTTCAGAAATCTCTTTATGGTTTTAAAGGCCTGGAGAGAGTGAGAGGAACTCCCTCCGGTCAAATTAATTCTGTTCCTATCACATAATTCCCCATTTCTTTCTGTATCTCTTTATCAATAGAAATGCAATTTCTGACTTGTAATGGCAAATGCGGTAGCTATGTGTTAAATCATAGTAGTTATGCATTAAATCATAGTTATGTGTTAAGTCAGCATGGATTCACCAAGGGCAAGTCATGCCTGACCACCCTGATTGCCTTCTGTGATGAGAAAACTGGCTCAGTGGATGTTGGGAAAGCAGTGGATGTAATATACCTTGACTTTAACAAGGTTTTTGATGAAGCCTCCCACAGCATTCTTGCAAGCAAGCTGAGGAAGCCTGGTTTGGCTAAATGGACTGCGAGGTGGCTAGAAAGCTGGCTGGCCTGTCAGGCTCAACAGGTAGTAATCAATGGCTCAATGTCTAGTTGGCAGCTGGTATCAAGTGGAGTGCCCCAGGGGTTGGTCCTGGGGCTAGTTTTGTTCAATATCTTCATTAATGATTAGGAAGATGAGATGGATTGCACCCTCAGCCAGTTTGCAGATGACACCAAGCTGGGGGATGTAGAAGATACGCTGGAGGATAGGGCTAGGATTCAGAGTGACCTAGACAAATTGGAGGACTGGGCCAGAAGAAATCTCATGAGATGTGAGATTCATTAAGGACAAGTGAAAAGTCCTGCCCTTGAGACAGAAGAATCCCAAGCACCAATACAGCCTGGGGACTGATTGGCTAAGCAGCGGTTCTGCAGAAAAGGACCTGGGGGTTACAGTGGACAATAAGATGGATATGAGTCAGCAGTGTGCCTTTGCTGCCAAGAAGGCTAACGACATACTGGGCTGCATTAGGAGTGTTGCCAAGAGATAGAGAGAAATAATTATTCTTCTCTATTCTGCACTGGTGAGGCTGCATCTGGAGTACTGTGTCCAGTTTTGGGCCTCCCACTATAGAAAGGATGTGGACAAGTTGGAGAGAGTCCAGGACAGCAAAAATAGTTTGGGGGCTGGGGCACATGACTTATAAGAAGGCTGAGGGAACTGGGCTTATTTAGTCTGGAGAAGAAAAGACTGAGAGGGGGTTTGATAGCAGCCTTTAACTACCTGAAGGGTGGTTCCAAAAAGGATGTTTGTTCTCATTGGTGATAGATGGCCAAACAAGGAGCAATGGTGTCAAGTTGCAGCAAGGGAGGTTTAGGTTGGATAATAGGAAAAACTTTCTCACCTAGATGGTGGTGAAACACTGGACCAGGTTACCTAGAGAGGTGGTGGAATCTTCATTCTTTGAGGTTTTTAAGACTTGGATCAACAAAGCCTTGGCTGGAATGATTTAGTTGGGGCTGGTCCTCTTTTGAGCAGGGGTTTGGACTAGATGACCTCTTGAGGTCCCTTCCAACTCTATGATTCTATGAAATGCAGTCTGCAGGGCAGTATGGTGAATTGGGCTAAAGAAAGTTTTTTGGGGGGTCCTGGTTGTATGTGCTCCAGAGATCCAGGAATGGAAAGTGAGGTTTGGCTGTTTTCAAACAAATATAGGTCTCTCGGCATGTAATAATGGTCTCTTAGTATGCCTAATTCAAATTTCTTTCCTACAGCTCTTGGTGAGTCTGCCATATCAAGTATGATTAATGAGGTCAGGCCAGCCACATCCACTACTGCTCTGCCCATCTTCTACAATATACCTGTGAGGTATTTGAAACTGAAACACAGCGAGGCTAAGGAAAAAATCCAGCTCCATCTTTCATAGTTTCAGAGGCCCTCAGCATTGAAGAACTGCAGTTTCTGTTTGAAGTGGGAGGTGCACATGAGAAATGCTAGCACTTGCTGAGTGATGTAAAATCCAAGCCTATGTGCTCCCTCAGTTGTGGGAGAAGTGGATTGCAAGGGACATGTACAAGTGGCCAGAGCTGGATGGTGCACTTGCTTCTCTTTCAGTCGAATAGAAGAGTGTTTTTATGTTTAACTAGCTGAAACCCACAAAACATTTGCAATTAAACTTTTATTGAAAAAGTATTTCTTTAAATACAGGATTTTTAGTTATCCTTTGACCAAATACTTTAATGGAATCAAAACTTATCACCCTCAAAAAGGCTACTTAAAGTTGTCCATGTGCAAACACAGGCTTAGGAATATAAATACATATTTTGTCAAACGTCTGACCTTTTTACTTGTTTATAGTCATAGAATAAGAGGGCCCTTGTACTTGTGACTAAGGGCCCTTGTACATATGAGGAAATTGCCCCTTTTAGTGGTATAATTGCCTTTTTTAACAATTTAATTGATAACGGTGTACACTTTTGGCGGCGCATTTTGTTTTGAATTACTTTTTATGTAGCAAACTAAAACACATCCCATGTATTTTAGTTTGCTATGTAACAAATTACAGCAATATTCCTCACGTGTACAAGAGCCTTATCCAGAGAAGGTGGCAGGGACGGTGCATAGGGCGCTGGAAGTCCAGGCGTGCTCGGGGAAGCTCGGGCTTGGTGGGCTTCCAGTGCCCTGTGCACCATCCCTGCTGCCTTCTCCGGCTGCCAGCACACCCAGCCACCCTCCTGCCACCTTCCTGGGGCAGCCAGCTCATTCCTGGGTGGTCCCAGGTGGCAGGAAGACTAGAAACAACATGAAACACATTTCATGTGACCAGGACTTGTGGCTTTAATCAAGCTTGGGGCCCTCCACCACAGAGTAGGTAGGCTCCTTCAAAGGAAAAAAAAATGGTGAGGGGTGATCCTTTTGTTTTCCCAAAGTCTGCCCACCTGTCCCGCGGGCAGGGGGCCCCAGTGCTTCATCCTAGCTCTGGCCTGCCTGCATAGCTGTTTGAAATGCCCCAGGATCGCTAATAATAACACACTTATTAGGTCTGTTAGGAGCACTTTGATTGGTTATTTCACTAATCATTGTGATTGGCTGCCAAGACAACCAATCAGCATGCTAGTGCTCTGGAAAGACAGAATAAGCCTATTATTATTATTATAGAAGATGATTGTGTTGGGAATCCAGCAACCCTTATCAGGTCATGGCTGCACTAGGCTCTGTTGTAGAAAGGCACAGGACAGCATGACCCCTGCTTTGATCCCTGTTTTAAAGTAGTCGCTTCTAACAGATTTCACATCCGGTTACTGGAATCTTAGCCTTCCTGCTGCAAGCCCAGTATGTAATACAGGTATTGCCGCCATCCTTTACACATCCAGTTCCTCACTGTAGGAGTAGAACATCTCACATGTAGCGGCCGCATAGGCAGGCACGATTGCTTGATTTCCCTCTTGTTCAAGGGGAGTCATATTTATTGCAGGAAGTCCTGAGCACCCCACACTAATGAACCACATGAAATATGATTGTGATCTGGGGAGACAGTTCCTGATTATGCTCCTTTAACACACAGCAGCCCATTTGTCAGATCCCTTATTGATCATGTATCACAAACCATTTAGCAAGCCTCATTGCTTCTTTCAAGAGATTCCCCCTACCCCAATTTCCTCCCTGTTTTTTCCTTTTTTCACTCTGCTTAGGGTGACATAAGCCAAGAAGAAGTAGGCTTTGTAACTATCAGAGTGGATTTCTCCTTTTCCCCTTTTTTCTGCATAACCATGAAAAGACCCCTCACAATCTGGTCCATAGTACCTGGGTGCACCTGTTCTACCAGGTGCCATTTTCAACTGTCCTTTGAAAAAAGCAGATGCTCTATGTGTTAATCAAAGAAATCTTATTCTGAGCTTCATGTGATCTTCTCAGCAGGTTTTAGTACAAGTGTTTCTTCAAAATTCTCTTAGATCTTAAAGTTCACTAGGCTTTTTTCCCCTTCTTTGTTTAGTTTTTTACAGTCAAAGTTTTGCAGTCAAAGTTTACACTCATAACCTCACACTTATTACCAGGTTCTCTAGCAACATCCTAATTTATCTGTGCCTCACAAAAAAAGAGAGAACAGACCAGTTCATATTTCTCACCTATGAAAGATTTCCCAGCTTCTCCACCTTCCAGCAATCTCTAGCAATCGCCTTATCGTGGCCGCATGAAGGGAATCAGCGTTTGCCAGCCATCACTGCACAGCAGTATCTGAGATAACACACACACACCTATGTCTTTTAAAAAAAGGAGAGACTGCATTAACTCATATATTGCTATGTAAAAACTGATGGTAAATATGTACAATTTAAATGCATGCTTTGTATTTCTTAGTGCCGACTTTGATCCCACACAGTGCAGCTGGGAAGTACCACATGATAGAAAACAATGTGATGAGCAAGGTGGGGGTGTCAGAGGCTCTGTGCCTGCACGTTCTGCTCTGCTCCAGAACTGCCAAAATACTCTTAACGAATGGCAGTGGATCGGTTAACAATGTGCCTAGTTTACACTGAACAGTCCTCTCTTTTGAGATGCACCTATTTGTGCACCCACGCCACAGCCCTTTTTACTATGCATGGTACTTCTTTCATACACATATTCCTTTCAGTTACATAAATGTCACTGGATTAATTCAATGGAGGAAATTTATTCTACTGTACTCTGGCTGGTTTGTGCTACTCCAGCAAGCTCCTTTATGACTGCTGTGGGTTTCTAAGCTAGCCAAGTCAGCTAAAGAGCATGGGTGATTCTGGGCCAGAGTATTTTGTTCACTAAAACCAACACTGCTTATTTTAATAACGTCATTATTTCTCTCCCTCAAGCTATACCAGAAGGTGCTCAAGAATGGCTGCTGGTCTGGAGAAAGCTTGTCACCGATGCATATCAAAAATTGCCAGCAATGGTAAGTTACAGCTCTAGGATGTCCAGAGCTCTGCAGTTAACTATTCGAATTTGTAAAGGAAGCCTCTGGCCACAGCCCAGGTAAGTCAATAGGGCGCTGAGCTTTGCATGAAGGCCTAATAACTTACTTCTGCAAAGTACAGCCAGTATCAACTCCTACCAAAAATCACTTGGTACTTCAAAGTTGCTGCTCAGCACACTGCAGGATTCAATCCTGGACCTTACACAGACGAGGGGTTGTCAGGCTTCTGACTTTCTGACTCAGCAGTAGCCTTGTGTCCCAGTAGGGTGTTGGGAGGCACATTGCTGATATGATATAAAACTTGGGTCTGGGTACTGAAAAGCATATTGGCAGACAAGGTTCCTTGGGTGAATTTGATATTTTTTATTAGACCAACCTGAATAGTTGGAGAATAGTTATTAGGCAAGCTTTTGGGTTCAAAAACCCTTCATCAGGCTGAAAAACTTATTGTACATTTTTCAGGAGAAGGCATGTCATTTCATTGAAGTGATTAAAATATGCATATTTAAATTCTCCTTGAAGTTTCCATTGGATGCATCTTCCATCTTCCTTCCTTCCTGTATATGTTTCTAGCGTGAAAGACTGATACATAGAGCTGTAATAATAATTGTAATTATAAAGCACTTCTCTTGCTGTGGTGGTTGGGGCAATGCACAATGATAGAAAACACCCTGCAATTAAAAATGCCTCAGAATGTCCTGCCCTTGCAGTCAGCCTCAGTTCTCTCCCTCCCCTTGCCCCATCCCCTAGATGGGGCTTTATATATGCTTCTATATAGATTTAAACTAGAGAACATCTATGAAAAATAGTGCAGGATGATGCCTTCTGAAATGAGTCCCACAGCCTGCACGTCCAGCTGCTTGGCATCCCGCTCCACATAGCAAAATCACAACCAGCCTCTGATCCAGAGCACATTGACCAAATTTCCAAAAGGCAGTTTTGGTCAGATGTGTGTACTTTAGCTTGTAAGCTTTTGGGGGGCAAGGACTCTTTTTTTTTGTCCTATGTTTTCATAGGGCCCATCACAAGGGACATCTGGTCCATACAGTCATAGATTGTTAGGGGCTGCAAGGGACCTCACAAGATCATCGGGTCCAGCCCCCCGCAACTAAGGCTCTAGGGTGCTAAGGTAGACTAATCCTTTTCCCTGAGTGTGAAGAATAACAGTAACATTGATGGAGGAATTCTCCAGGATAGCCTAGACCTATGTAAGTCAGGGCTTTAAAATCAACTTGGCCAGCTTGAAAATCAATCTAACACTTTATAATAGTGTACCAATATTGAGCATGTTCTCTAAAAGGTAATTAGCTGTGTTAGGCAGGCAGGGTAGAGGTGCACCTTACAGACTAACAAAATCAGAGCTGCATAAGCTTTCATGAACAGTGCAGAAGCTAGCATTTTATGTGTCCAGATGCTGCTAGAATCTGATGATGTGAGCTGTTGCTAACAAAAACTTTTGCATCTATACTTGCAAGCAACAACATTTTCCAAATCCCTTCAGTTATAAGAAACAGGAAAAATTATTAATATAATTTGACCACTCACTGTAATGGAAACTTCACCCACACAAATTGCTTTATTTATCAGTCAGTGGCTGCCACCTTGGGGTCTTATCTATGAGTGCCTTTGGCTCCAATTGAAAGTGGTTTCTGAAAAATTAAAAAGAAGCTTCCATTAGTGATTAAGCCACTTAATGCCTTGCTGCCTATCAAAATTCTCCATACAAATCTGCAAAAGCCTTGAAGATAGTCTGCTACAAAGATTATGATGAAAAGCACAGACCCAATTACACTTTGAAAGTACTCATTGCCAAGAGAGTAGCTAAGGATTTCTGTCAACCTCCTATCCAGTTCTTCTGCTGTACCCTCACATGGCCAAACTGAAAGCAGTTCAGCCACACTCAGAAGGAAAGGTTTTGTCTGCTACCCCATCAAATTGTACAACAAGGACCTCAGTTAAATTTAACCTTCTCCCTTGAGGAGATACCAGGAAATGAGTTCAAACTGCCTGCATTAATTTCAAAGCCCTACCAAGTTACAGAGGTCTCTTATCTAAGTAGGCATCTGGGTCAGCTACTTTTTAGCTTGAAAAAAATGACAAACTTACACTCTTGAGAAGTATAAGAAACTTTTCTGTGCCAGATTCACTGGAGTCTACTTATTGTATGACTCCAGTGCCAAAAAGAAGTTAGAAAAAAAAAAAGCAGACAGAAGTCCCTTAGTGCTGGACTGCTCCCAGCAACCATAGAGTTAGGTTAGAAGGCTTCTTTTTTTACCCATACCAATAAAGAACATAGGGAGCAGTGAGCAGGGTGGCTCCAGAACACGCTGGCCTCTGTTATGCCCAGAAACCTTCTTGGAAGCTGGGAGCATGGTGCACAGGTTAGAGCAGCACCTCCACTGTTTTAAATTCAACTAGCTGGGCAGCAGGCAGCGTGATGGCTCAGCCTGAGGAAATCATGCACACTGGAGAATTTTAGTCATTGCTTTTGCCCTTCAGAGGCAGTCAAAATAAGAGGCAGGGGCAATATATTCTCAGATTTCTGTTCCTATCAGTTACAAGCAAAATATTGCTGCTTTCTATTGGCATTATAGTGCCGCTGGGGCTTTAATGACGATTGATGGAATAAATGGTCCGTTATAAATTTTTAAAAGAATGGAATTGATTCTCATTGCATGTGGCCTGGCTTACATAAGGAGTAACTCCACAGAAGTTCATGGAATTACAGCAGTGCGAGGCAGCTCACATCAGCCCAGATTCTGAGTTCCAAGAATGCCTTTATTTTTATTTACCCAGGGCAAGGCTCTTCATTATATTTCAATGCAAAACTCAGATCAGCATGAAGAAGGAATCAGATGGTGTCTCCAAACTGTATTTTGTTCCTCCAGTCATTGTTACTCTGGTATACACCTATTTATTCTTGTGCTAACACTTTCACCTTAATTAGCTCTTATCCCTCCCTAGTATTTTCCCTGCTGATATATTTATAGGCAGTAATCACAGCATCTCTCAGCCTTTGCTTTGCTAGGTGACAAAAGCTGAGCTCTTTCAGGTCTTGTGACTGCTCTCACATGGGGTGAATTTCACCCAAAGTAATCACTCAGGTCTGCAAAGTCACATGTCTTCAGGATCAGGACCTTATTGAAGAGCTTTATGTTTCTGTTAAATTTAAACTGTCCAGTTTTAAATCGCTGAAGGACAGGCCATCCTCCTGTCTGAGAGACTGTTCCACTAATAGATCACACTAGTTAAATTTTTTTCTGATATTCAGCCTAGTCTGTCCATTGCTCAAGTTCATCCTATTCATCCTACCATATTTATGCCTTCTAGGACTGCCTAAAGAAGTCCCTTTTCTGGTGTTTATACTTTTTGTACACTTATAATAGTTGTATCTGAGTTGGCCTTTGCTTAGCCATGCTAAACAGATCTAATTTGGTTCCTATTAAGTTTCTTTCTTCAAGACTTTTGTATTCTCCTTCTTTAAATCCCACTCATTGTCTTGCCATTTTGTTATCATGGGCCCAGAAGGGCTGGCAGTATTCATAATTGCCCAACACGTCCCTACCGAAGAAATAATTTGCAGGAATCAAATTGATGACCTAAAGATGAAATCCCCTAAGCCATTTCCCACTTTTCTTCACATGCTGCTCACTGTATTGTATCTTTTCTTCAGATCCCTGGTAGTGCTCTAGAGGATAACTCTAATTACAGTAAAGCAATAAAATATTGATAAATACATCCACCCATTGTGCATTCGTGTCTGCTGCACTGCCAGTTTACATGTTGCTGTATGGTACATTGCTAACCCTCAAGGGGAAACACTCAAGGCATGTCTAAAAAGGGAGGTTACTGCACAATAAATTAGGATATAAACTTACAATACATTAGCTTCTTTTCCATTAGACCTTTTGTGTGGACACTTTTAGGCTGCACAAGGAGCTTGAATAGAGACCTTATTTATATTGGTGTAATCAGCCTCATATTGTTGTAAACAAGAAGCAGGCAGATGATGTAAAAGATCGCAATGCGGCTGCAGAAAGCATATGTCTCAATGGCTATAAAGGTGGATGAAGGCTACAGAAGAGTAATCCCAATTGTCTTGGATCTCCTTGCCACTGGACACAGGTTTCTCCTCTGCCAAGATCCATGCAGTTGCCAATGTGCAACAGCGTTCTCACATAAAACAAGTGACACACAGGCTTCTCTCATTGATCCAACAGCTACTACAATAACCAATACCAATTAGCCATCAATGGAGTCATCTACAACCCTTTTTTTGACTTGTGGGAGTGATCATCCTTACCATGAGGGATCAATGAGATGATGGCTTGCTAAAATTGTCCACACAGGGAATTAGAGAGAAGTGAACAGGAAGCTGTAAACTCACATGTTTCCTGACTGTGTACTAAATTCCCCACATAGACAAGCCCTTAGGTAACTGTGGAAACCACTTGAAAGTTGGTCAAGTCCAATAAAAAAGATGGCTTTGCTCTTAGCAAAGTACAGCTGAGTCCTGTGAGAGAAATCTAGCTGCCTGTAGAACAAACAGCATATGGGTCCAACGGAAAAAGTGTGGCCAGGAAAAGATACTGATTTATTCCAGTTAAACCCAAGGCCTCAAGGGCTGCACCCAGACAAGCGTGGCCATGCGGTATGTGGCACTGCAAACATGTGCGATATGTGGCACACACAAAACACACCACATATTGCACATTCAGATGCCCAGTAGTGCATCTGGATATCCAGGGGTCTAAAAAACCAGCAGGAAAAAAAAGTGTAGCAGCGCATGCCTGGGCATTGAACACTGCTCAAAAGCAGAGCCCAGCTGACCTGAGCTGCATTGTGGCTGCTGGCCAGGTTCTGTGCAGCAGAATTGCCACTGTTGCAGCCCTAGGCGGCCTGCAGGACCACAAGTAGGGCTACTGGGGCCATCTTAGTGCTGGCCCCAGCTTCCCCTACCCCCGCCTGGGCTAACTTGCTGCACAACAAAGCGCGGCATTCCCGGGGACCAAATGCCCACATGCATGTGAACGCAGCCAAAGGGGTTCATGTCTGTTCTCTTGGGAATTTTTCAAACCATAGCCACAAGCCAAGTGCATAGGATTTTTCCTCAGCCATTTTTTTAAATCTCACCAATAGCACTGTTTGGACATGTCCACAAACGCAGGCGTGTGTGCTTCCAGCAGTTCAAATAGTAGTAGCTCAAATTTGTGCCAGAGGTTTGTGCTTCAGCACACGTACCTGAACATGCACTTTGGTGTAGGGCAAATTGTTCCACTTGGGGCAAACTGGCCCTATTCAGCTTCTCCCGGATCTTCAACCAGGGGGATCTAGAGGCTGGGGCCAGCACCTGTATAAAAGTTGCCCTGGTGAGCAGCTCAGGGCTACTTGCCACCAGGAGCTTCTGAGGCCCAGCCAGTTGGTATCTGGGGACACTAGCCCCTTGTGCCAGCTGGACAGCTGAAGCAGCCCTAACCTAGAGTGGCCCCTGCACCCTCTACCCACTGTCACAGTCTGGCAGTGGGAGCTGTTGCCTGGCTCTGACCTGCTGCACACCTGCGACAGCATCCACCCCCTTGGATCTGCGGCCCCATGTCTGCAAGCCTGCCTGACCCAGATGGAGACTGCACAAGCTCCTGGGTTGTGGTACAGGCACTGCAGCAGAGCCTCCTGCACCTCTGGGCCAGCTGTCAGTGGGTCATGGCTGCACAGTTGGCTTTTAGGTGACACTGCTGTCATGTCTTCTGGTGTTCCCACTCTGCCATCTGAGCAGCTATCGCCCAGATGTGCGTTTTGTGGTGGCCCGCTTTGAACTGTCAAAGCGCATTCTCCGAGCTCCAAATGGCAGCCACCTCATCTGCCCTCCAGCTGGGTCCCTGGATCCCACCACTTGACTTGGAGCTGTCAAGTTAAAATGGATTTCAAACTCATTTATCAAAGCTGCATGGGTTAATGTGGAGAGTCACACAGAGACAGATCAGACCTTGTTAACTTATCTGAAGAGAAGGGTCAGTGTGGGGCCTAAGCACTGAGGCTCTGTGCCCACAATTCAGATTTGTCTATGGACTCCAAAGTTCAGAGAGCTCATAGCATCCAAACTCTAGGATGGGTTTCCAGAACACAAGCTCTTCCAAAGCACCCATTTCCTTGTCCTATCCATAACGTGTTCCCAATATATGTTCTCTCATCCTCCCTGAAGCCCAACTGTATGTTGCAGAACAGAGGGCTTTCCTGACTATGCTATCTCAGTGTTTCCCAACCAGTGTGCCACGGCACAGACGTGTGCCATCAGAAGTGGTCAGGTGTGCCGTGGAATTTTGCCATGGCAATGAGCTACAATAGGTATGAGGATGGGGAATGCCTTAACAGGTGTGCCACAGAAAATTTTTATTAATGTAAGTGTGCCTTGGCCTGGAAAAGGTTGGGAAACACTGTGCTATCTAGTTGCCCAGATTAGGCTCCCAGCACATGGCTTCTTCTGAGCCAACCTTGGAAAAGCAGATGGCCTGGAAAACCTTGTCCTGTAAGCCTGTTCTCAGAGTATAAGGTTCCATTTCTTGCCTTTTCTCTGGGGATGGGATCCTGCAGTGTAGGCCAGCTGTGAAGAAGTGCCATCCCCCACATAAAAAAATGTTACCATTTCACAAATAGTGACCTTCTCTTTGCCCTAGTGTTGCCCACACCCATGAGGCCAGTACTGTTTGTGCTACCCCATGCCAATTCAAACAAGGATTTCTTGGGCAACTTGTCTTTAGTCTAGAAAGGGGCAGCACAAGTCAGACAAATTCAGCCCACATCTGCCTATACTTTTGGAAGAACATTTATATGACGGAAGTATCACAGAAAACAGTCTTTAGTGCTGGCGACGTTGTGACTGACTGCAGAACCTTGTCAGTGGTGTAGGCAATTGTTGAGTGTCTCACTTTATTAAAAATGGATCTGGAAACATTCCTAGATAATGCATCTGCCCCTTCAATTCAAGACCTAAGAGGATGAGACTGAATGGGGAGATAATAAGTAAATACATTCCCAGTGTCTGCTTAGGGAAGAGAATTAATGAGCCATTATCTTTCTCTCTTTAGCTGTAAGTACTCCTTGCTTCCCCTTTTTCCTGTCCAAAATCAGGCTGTTGGACAGACAGCAGACAAATACAAAACCATGCACCTGTGCGCCAGGTGTGCAATTCTACATGTACATAAGCTCCGCTGAGCCATTTACAGAGTATACTGCAGTATATCTAGGGATCAGAGAGAATATCAACTGTACATTTAAGAAACAACATAAATCTTCTTCCGACTGTTGTTATTATATACCCACTGGTGAAGGCAGGAAGGGTGGGGGGAGGTAAGTGGCAGTGTGAGAGTTGATCAACACTCAGTGAGTTACCCTAGTGTAGCAAAATGATGATCAGACAATACTCACTGGTAACACTAGAGAATCAATGGAGCTATTGAACACCTGAACCACATGCTTTAGAATACTAGATAAATGAAGTTACCCAGGCAACTAGAAGTATTTGAAGGTAATGTTCCCAAGTAGTATTTAGAGCCCAACCCTATTTTAATGAAAATCACTCCAGTATATTTGAATAATGGTCTGAATAATGTAACAGCAAGAGGTCTTTGCATAGAACTTAGCATTCAGTGAAATGCAAGATACTGTGCAGAATTGTTATAATGAGAGACTGTTCCTGAAGACTGTTTCAAAGAGCTTAGTCACAATGTAGGGGACAACTGAAACAGGGAGAGAACTTTTGCACTTGGCAATGTTCAAGGAAAAGAGATGGGAGACTGCAAGTTAAAAAAGGGAATGAGGAAGGTTAAACAAAACTTTCTCCATCTCAAAATATTTTCAGTCCTTATTGTTTATGAGTTTATGAGTTATATATTTATGAGTTATATATATATGTGTTACTTTTTTACAAAGATGATTCTGAAGGACTGAAGGATATCAACACCTTACTGATAAAGCTAAGTCAACGCATAGGGGGCAGTGTGTTTCCATGTGTAGATGCTGGCTTGGGAAGCAGGGGACTTGGATTCTCCTAGCAGCTCTGCCGTGGATCTCAATTAAGTTTCAATATCCCTCTGTCCCTGTTTCGCTTTCTGTGAAGCAGAGATAATGGTACTTACCTTTCTTTGTAAAGCACTTTGATACCTACAAATAGGAAGCGGTGTATAATCTCTAGGAGTGATAATACCAATAGTAAAGGGGGTGGGGCTGCATCAGTTCTAGCACTGAGAAATGACATAGATATTTGTGCAACAGAAGGGGAAAGGCTACAGTTCACATTCTGTATAGCTTTTTGAGAACTAAACTCAACAACTTTGTGGCCCTCAACCAGCCCTAAATGTTTACATTGAGGTTCATATTTGGTGAACTCAAATCTCCAAAAGAGCATCATACTCCACTTCTTGTTGGTGACTTTTTACCAACTTTCCAGACCATGCCTCATCCCCTTTTTGCTCCTTTAGGACCACAGGTATCTTTTAACAGATGGAACAATTTGAAACAGTATCGTGGAGATGCACTAAGCATGGACCTCCAGGATAACATTTTTACAGTCATTTTTAACAGTGCAGAATGACCTTAATTATCATCAGGTTTAGAGCTGGCAGCTTTGGAAATAAATAGGGACAGACAGTTCATGCTTCTCATGTTGCTATTGTTTTTGTCCTTTTGCAGAGGTAGAAAACCACTGCTGCATTAGGCTGCATATGGAAAAAAATTGTTACAGTTTAAGGGCTCAAACCTTGCAAAAGCTTGAATTTTTGGGAAAGTGATGGAGCAGCCGTCAGCCAATCTGGGTTAAGTGGAAAGATTCCAGGACCCTAGTGAACAGGCCATTACTGCCTGCTCTTAAGTCATGAGATTGCTAAAGTGCTTTAAAATTTGATGCCAGGGCCAGGCACAGACATTGGCGAACTGGGTGGCTGCCTGGGGCCCGGACAGAAAGGGGTCCCAGAAATGATAATTTTTTCCATTGCCTGATGATGATGATTATCTCTGGCAAATGGGAGCCCGATACTAAAAGTTTGCCCAGGGCCACCAGAAGTCTAGGTTTGGTAGTGTTTGATGCCAGCAAGTGAAATACCCGACAGTCTGGTCACCCCCGACTCCATTGGGTACAGAAAAAGTTCTCATTTTATCCAGCACATTAGATCATTGACACTGTTCATACATACATTTCAAGAAAAAGCATGTAAGAGATTGTCTTCTTTAAAATACTATCAGTGGAATAACCCAGCATTCTGTTTTTTCTTTACAGCATGCTTTATTTTTGGTCTTCTTGCTTTCCTTGCTTTACCATTGTCCATGGCTTTTACAGGTAAGGTATCTGTCAAAAAAAGCATTTAAAAATTGGAGTTTTTAAACCCCTAGTCATGTAGTATGTTAGTGGAGCCTATTTAAAGATGTGTTTGAATCTGGCTTTTGACCAAAGTTTACCCAAATGTGGCAAGTCATTACATATGTTTGTCCATGTCATAAAACTGTCGCTCACCTTGATATAGTTGTTGATATTAGCTTGGGAAAAGCCCTAGACAGGTATTGCCTGAGTTACGTAGGGAAGTCTGCCAAACATCAATTCTATTGGACAGTACAATTCGATCACTGTCTTAATCACTCTGCACTATATTTTTAGCCTTTTAAGACTGTGTGGTGATTTTGGCTTCAGATATCTGAGCATGGTAGTCACTGGCAGACAACCAGGAACTCCTGAATTCTGCTTCCAAAACTAACAATGACTCCTTGCACAAAGTACCTAACCTCTCTGCCTAAATTGTTCTAATTATAAATAGGGATCATTGTATATACCTGTCTACTTCATAGGGGCATCAGAAAACTTAGATAATAGCCAAATAACCCATGTGATGGTCCTCTTGCCTCTAATGGAGTTATTCTTTTAAGTAAATCTAAGAGGATTTTGCTCAGTTTCTGATATTCTACTTGGAAAGTGTCAAAAGTATACTCTTAATAATGATAAATACCCAGAAACAGGTACAAGTGCAGTTTTATCCTGCATTTGTAGCCTGAATAAAAGAACTTGAACATGTTGTTAAATTTTTGGTGAACAAAATCTAGTGCAGTATACAGCATTTGCCTATGAATCATCCCTTTTTTTTAGCTGATATCACCTCTAAACAATGAGAACATTGAACTACCCTTCAGATTTATGGATATATTTCATAGCTGTGTTGGTCTGAGACAAAAAGAAATGCAAAATTCTAGGCCCCCTTGGTTTAGAGATGATACTTTTTATTAGACCAACTAAGAAAAGCTTGCAGAAAAAGATAATTATTTTTGTGATTTCACAGCTCATTCCCCTGCTCCTCCCATGCTCACAGAGCTGGTGGGAGAGGCTGCAGAGAGTGCTGCCAGGATGCTGGGCAGGCATAGGGTTTACCTCCTCTCACAGGGACTGGGTGCTGTGGCATCCCTCAAAGGATTTTGCAGCACTCTGGTGGAGAATCACTACCTTAGTCTACCACCGGGCCCCAGCAGCAAGGGTCTGGCGCATAGCTGTAGGTGTGCACAGCATGACTGCTGCAACTAGCTCAGACTCAATAGAGGAGAGGATGCCTGTAAGGCCACTGAGATGTTCCTTTTATTAAGAAAATCAGACATCACAGAAGTGAAGAGCTGGAAGGGACCTCAAGAAGTCATTTAATCCAGGGCTGTCTGACTGCTAAGCAGCCAGGAGCCACAAGCAGCACAGGCCACACCAGCAGGGGCCAGAGTCTCCCCAAGGCTGCACATCACAGACCCCTCCCTGCATCTCAGTGGTCCAGTGGCAGCCCCTACCCCCACCCCAGCTCCCCAGCCAGGGACTTCCCTGCTGCCCAGTGCTGCTCAGGTGCCCTGGGACATGAGCCCCCTCAGCCCTGTGGACTGTGCCACTCTGCCCTGCCCTGTGGGGTTGGGGCAGGAAGCTGGAACTGGAGGATGCAGAGGGAAGCTGAGACCCCAGCTGCTGCTGCAGCCAAAGCAATGTGGGGAGTGGTGGCTGGGCACCATCATGTCGCTACCTCAGGCACTGAGCTGCGCTGGTGCACCTCTGCTGTCAGGACTTTCTAGAACAGATTCTCAACCAAGGTGATGCAGCACCCTGGGGTGCCTCCAGATCCCTTCAGGGATGCCTCAGGGTGCTACACCGTGTTTAGACTGGTAGTGCACAAACATGGTTCACAAGATAAACCCAGAGATTCCAAATAAGAACCCATAGTGTTAAAACCATTCTGACCTGCTGTGGTCTTTCTGAGTCCTTTGGAACAGGAAAATTGATATGTTATTTTTCCGTAAACAAAAAAGGAGTGAAAACTAAGCTGGCATTTTCTAAGAGGTGCCTTGAGCCTAAGGAGAGGTGCCTTGATTCAATAAAGGTCGAGAGCCCCTGATCTGGATTGTGGTTTGCATTTTATACAATAGCAGCAACACACTGTTGATTCTTATTCAGTTTTTCATCCCCTGCAACTCCAGAGCCTTTTCTACAGTACTGCTGCCAAACTAATTGTTCTCTGAGTTGTGTTTGTGCATTTGATTTCTCCCTCCCAAGTTGAGCAACTTGAATGTGCCTTTCTTGTATTTCATTTTTATTTGTTTTCTCCAGTTAATCAAGATAATTTTGACTTTTAATCCTGCCCTTGAAAGCACTTGCCACCCCTCCCAGCTCACTGTCATATGCAGATTTTATAATACACTAGCGAATTGCCCATCAAGAATGATGGGGGGAGCGGGTGGGCGGGGGGGGACAGAGCGCTGCCACCCACCACCCTCCCCCACCACTGCCTTCTAGGAATGGAGGAGGGGGCAAACTTGCCCTGCTATTCCCTCCATCCCCCTCCACCAGCACCCCACACCACCACTGCCTCCAAGTGGTGGCCTCACCCCCTCTCCCCAGCCCTGCTCCTTGGAGGTGGCGGTGGTGTGGGGTGGTGGCAGCATGGTGCTGGCCTCACTCCCCCACACTCCGTTCCTTCCATCCCCACCATCATGGTGGTACTCCATCACTAGATGATGGTGGGGACAGAGGGGATGGAGGGGTGGAGTGAGGCCAGCGATGCTTACCTTGCCCCCCCAACTCCATCCCCACCTTCATGGCAGTGCTCTGTCCCCACCCTCATGGGGCGCAGCTCCATCCCTGCTGTCATTCTTGATTGGCAATTCACTAGATGACGGTGGGGACAGAGGGGACAGAAGGGGGAGTGAGACCAGTGCCACACTGCCACCACCCTGTACTGCTGCTGCTTCCAAGGAGCAGGGCTGGTGGTGGGGGGGGCGGGGTGAGCCCTTTATATATAGAGAATTATTTCATTGTGATTGTTATTAAGGAACAATGGTGCAACTGAACATTAATTACATCAGAGCCGTCCCTAGGGGGAGTGCGAATCAGGGCAACCACCCTGGGCCCTGCACTTCGGAGGGCCCTGCAGACAGTGCTGTACAGGCCCTGCTGTGGCCACCATACACCACTAGCTCCACGCTCCAGCTGCTCATCCCGCCCCCACCCCCGTGCTCCAGCTGCTCATCACACACTCCCCGTCCTTGCACAGGCTAATATGCCTCCAGGGATGAGCTCTAGGGATGGCTAGAGCTGGCCATAACTTCAAATTGCTACTTGTACATTGTGCCTTGCCTTGGGGCATATATGCCCCAGGGTGGCAGGGTTCCATGCAGGCTTAGGAAGTTATAACTTTCATTACTGCATAATTTACACATTGGCAGACAGCCTTCAGCAAGGGGGTGGGGGCTGCAATCTGACCTTTTATTTCTAATATCCCTTTCCCAGTAATATATTTTAATATATTTAACATCTATGGGAAAATGTGGAATTTATTCTATGATATTAGCCTACAGTCTTGGGTATCTTCCCACATTAGACCCAGAGTTCTTTTTTTCATGACTTGTTGAAATTAAGACATAATGTCAATGTAATACGGTGTTGTCAGAAGATATTGGTTTCCTCCAGCTACGTATCTGCAAAAGCATTTTGGGGAAAATTAAATGTCAAGGCAAAATGCAGACATTTATTAGCCAAGCTAGAGACTTTGATTCTTTGATAATGGTCTGTTACAATGATTGGTCACAATGAATGACTTGATTTCCAGTAATCTAAATTATTGATGGGCATCTAAGCATTTTGGCCCTGTTTTCTCAAAGGGATAATTGCCAGATATTTTTTGAATGTTAACAGAAAGATTATAGTGGTGTTATTTAACCTTCAGAGATGAATAGTTAGGTATTAAAAAAAAGTCTGCAGCTTTATAAATAATAGTGCAAATTGATATTCATAAAGGAGGCCAAGCTACTTTTTCCCCATTATAGCTATCTGACATCATTTAACCTTCTCCCCCCCACCAGGTTATTTGCCTACTTTCAATTTGTAACGAATAGGAATGACTTTTTTTTTTTGTTAAACATTCCGAAGGTGAAATTGGGGATGGAAGGAGCCATTAGACCCTACGGTGTCCCTGACAATGATGGACTATTCCCAACAGTACATTTCCTATGTTCTCTGTCAGATGCTTCCCTTGGGTAACTCTTCCACAGCCTAACACTGCCGAAATTTTTGCTTGATATTTAGATGAAGGTCAGACTTCTATTTTCTTTGACACCTCTAAATAGCTTTTCCCCAACCACATACTTGTTTTTTGGCACTTACACCTAGTTTGGGAATCTGTTCCATCAGGCAGCAAAGTATTGACCCTGCACCTCAGGGTGGTGGGGGAGAGTAGATTCGTAGCTAGGGCACTCATCCAGGAAGCAGACCTACATTCTAGGGCTCCCTGACATAAGGATGGAGGTTTAAACCTACATCTTTTGCTCCCCAGCACTGTGTTCTAACCACTAGGCCTTAGGCTAGCCATTAGCCAGTGTGCTCTCCAACCCTCCTCTTGGAGCTGACCCACTGGGTAGCCATGAGAGGGAGATATGTGGAACCAGGAGGACAAGCACAATCCACAGTATATGTAGCTCAGTGAGATGGCTGTTGCTCTAGCTGTGAAGAACCCGTGGCTTCTAGCCCCAGTCCCTGCCCCTGCTGGGGTAGAAACTTCATCACTGCTGTCCATCCAATAAATACTGAATGCAAGGTGTAGTGGTCATGGTCTAGTTCTCATTGTTGCAATTGACTTGTTGTCAACAAGAAATATATATCTATTATTGACCTAATATAAGTACTTTAAAAATAATTGTATTATTCTGCTTTATCTTGATCTTCCCTATCCCACATCCCTGGAATTCCGTCCCAAAACCTATTTTCTAAGTCAGGGATTTTCAACATTTTTTTGAAGAGTGGACCCCTTCTGGGTACACTTCTGGCAGAGTGGGTGGCGGTTGGACATGGAGCTGGGGGGGTGCGGCAGGGGGGAGGGGGCTTGCACCTGTAGGCAGTGGAGGCAGTGGCAGCGTGGGGTGGTGGATGGCAGCGGTGGCTGCCGTGTGCTTGCTCCCCACCCCCTGCATCCAGCTGGCTGGGCGGTACCTGAGGGCTCTCGGCCCCCCCTTGGCCCTGCTCCTGGGAGACGGTAGCGTGGGGTGGTGGGTGGCGGTGCTCCGTCCACTCATGTGTACCTCCTAGCCCCTTTCCAAGTACCCCTGGGGGTACATACCCCTAGTTGACAACCCCTATTCTAAGTCACCATGATTTTCTCCTCACAAATCTTTCTAAGAGTCACTTCTATCATGTTACACACAAAAGTGACTTAATAACTCAGTTACTTAGAAAACTGAATTTCCATTCAATGAAACGGTTTATATAACCAAACATGGTTTTTTGTCCCAAATTGGGATGAAAAGTCAAAATCTTAAAAATCAATGCAAAACTAAAATCCCCCCCTCCCCCCATTTTGTTTTGGGAACATCAAGATGAAATATTTTACATCAGTAAGGGCCAATGTTTTTGGCAGGCAGGCTATGAGTTAGCTCCATACTCTCCCTGAGTGCTACTCCAGTGCCTTTCCATTGTTTGGTCTACTGCTCTGCTTTCTGCTCCCCGTTCTGTGCTCTTTGTGCAAGCTGCTGCTCTGCTGTCTGCCCTGTGCTCCCTGCCAGATCTGCTGCTCTGCTTTCTGTTCCTTGCCCTATCTACCACTGTGCTGCCTGTCCCTGCCATGCTCTTTGGAGACCTGGCAGTCTGCAGGGCAGACTGGAGCAGAGCAGGGAACGCTCCGGCTGACTGAAATTGGCAAGATTCCCACAGAAAACCTGAACTTGACTGCCGAGCTAAGAAGAGTTTGGTCAATTTCACAGCTGCTTTTCAGTGGTGGCCTGAAAACTGTTAAGACCTATGTTACATTCAGTCCATGGACGTCAGCAGTTCTCAGGTCCTTGGGTTCAGAACTTACAGTATAGGAGCCTGCCAGGAACCCTGGAAACCCCGGGAGCGCTGTCTCCCAAGCTGCAGTGCTCCCAGCTTTGTAGGCTTCCCTGGAGCCAGGAGGATGAGCTGGCTGAAACTTCTATCAGAATCTTGCTTGGGTCTGCTGGAAGTTTGTCAATACCTGACCACATCCTCAAGATGTTTTGATTTCAACAAACCCATTCAGATGAAACATATTTCACTGGAATTTATATGACCAGCTCTAGCTAATAATCACTTAAAAATGAATGGAGATGGAGCTGTCTGCTTGTATACATGGCTCCCATGAGTAATCCTGGAATCCTGGTGTTGTGACTTTTGTTCTATCTCTTCCCATCCCTGCCTTTTGTTTGTTCATTATCTTCATTTGCATAGTGTCTGATGCAAAGCCCATTTCATTCAGTTCCATTGACTTCAATGGACAATGAATCAGAGGCATAGATGTAAGTACAACCTTCCCCTAACTACATCTTTTGTTCTTTCTGTAAACCACCAAGCAACCTTTTGGTCACTGAAAATAATAACAGCATGTTTTTGCTACTCAGGAATGAAGTTTTTGGAAGATTGCCCTATACAACCACTAATTCCCTTATATCTGTTGGTGGGTGGTGTTGTCGGCAGTTTAAAGGTACTGTGCCTTCCATGTGTAAAACATCTTTTGTTTTTACATAGTACGGGATGTTTTAAATACACTGTGTTCATACAGGTACTGAAGAATTTACAATAGATTTATCTGATTAATTGAGAGCCAATGTCAAACCAACTGAATGTTATCACAGGATGATAATTCCCAATTACTCTACGTATAAAATGTCCTGATTTTCCTTTTTATCAAATGATTGAACTGGGATGAATCATATTGTTTGGTAGATATTATTACAGTAGATATCAACTACTCACTCTACTGTGCTTGACCTGCTGTTGTATCCAGAGGAGAACTGTGCTTCTTAGCCAAACAGAAACTGTAAAGGTGCATTTGTTTCTCATTGGCTGACATTGTTTCTTTGATCCACGAGTTCAGGTGAGCCAAATAGCAATGACAATGGCTGGCACAGATGTAGTAGGCAACCATTGATCCTCTGTATCATGGTGTACATGTACATGTTAGATGTCTAGTCAGATGCCTGATGAATCTGTTTGTGGCTGACAAGCCCAATTTGAGAGCTCCACAACTTGTTACAAGTTTCATAGATCCATGTGTTGTCTGAGTTGGAGTCCAAGTTGACAGCACGCTGCTTTCTTCTTTCTCACTTTGCTTTCATTCTCTGGATCAAAGATGCTTCATGCTGAACTGCACCCAGTGCCAGAAGTTCCCTCCGGATTTGATGGGATTCTGTGTGCTCCTCCCAGCTTTCTACATTGATGTTGGAATGACTTCATATCATTTTTGCACACATTGTGGTACCACCATAGAGGGTGACCCCACTTTCTCGAGTCATCTCAAATTTCACTATACAAAATATTCTTGGGGATATGGTCTCCTCCCATTCTCCTGACGTGATCAATCCATTGCAACTTTTCTTCTTGATAGTGGTTTCTAAGTGTGTCAGTCCTGCGTGCTCCAGTACCTTTGTGTTTGGTATTCTGTCCTCCTACTTTATTTTCAGGATTTTATGCAGACATCTCATATGAAAACTGTTCAGTCTCTTGATGTGCCTAGCATATGTAGTCCATGTTTCTGAACCATAAAGCAGGGATGACAGCACACAAGTCTTGTAGATTTGTATCTTCACCTTAGCTGATAGTTTGCTGTTATTCCATGCATGTTCTGTAATAGCCAAAAGTTTTAACTGCTCTTCTGGTTCTGTTAGTGCAGTCTGAAGGTCAAGATTTCTGCTGATTGTAGAACCCAAGTAGCAAAAACAGTCAAAGACACCAAGAGATTTACCCTCCATAGTGATGTCAGGTATTGGTTCTTTCACCCTTTGGTACACGATTATAGTCTTTTTGAGACTAACTGCCATCCCAAAGCTCTTGCATGATTCAGAAAATCTGCCCAAGAAATTGCACAGGGAAGATTCACAGTGAGCAACAAAGGCTGTGCCATCTGCAAACAAGAAATCTCTTGTTGAAAAAAACAGTTTTTTCAATTTGGTTTTTGCTCTAAACCTTGCAATGTTGAATAAGCCTCCATCTAGTCTGGTTCAAAGATAAATGCCATCATTGCTGTCCTTGAATGTGTGAAGAAGCAGGAATGAAAAGTAATATACCTATACCAATGGCTGGGATAGGACACTAAAACTTTGTAAGAGGAGGGAAATTCTGGTGATCTGATCATGCTGTACAAAGAGCAGTACTTTGAGATACTGGTTTCTAAAACACTATCTCAAACAGTCATGCCTTACTTTTGTGGCACTGGTGCCTGGGCATTTCAATGGCTTGGGGGTTCTGGTCTGCTCTGTTACACCTAACTTGTACATTCACCATCTTGTCCTTGTGGCTGCTCTGCAATGGCTGTCCCCTGGGCAACAGTCTCAGCTGGCCAACTCTGTACATGGACTTGTCTATAAGTATAGCAAGTAAGGAGCTGAGTTTGCTTGACTATGGTATGAATGCTGCTAACAGCAAAACCAGTGGAGGAAGTATCATGGCCAATGATAGGTGAGGCACAGGGCTGTGAAGTGTTGATCCATGTACGAGAGCAACATTACAGGACATTATTTGGCACTGGTTGGACTACACTTAATGGCAGTGTCCACTACTTCAACAGCCATAAAGTACAGGCCTAGTTCTGCCAGTTACTTCATCTCTGTGAAACCTTAGGGTGCACACTTTGGATGAAGGGAAGGGAGGGGTGATGGTGCTATGCAAGCCACAAGCATAGTATTTACTTACCTCTAGGGTGCACTGTGCTATGTGATAGAAACTACTGTGACTCTGGGCACAGACAAAATGCCAGGCATGGTGGTGCTTGCATTCATAGTTATGAACCTTACCTAAGTACATCCTGCTCCATTCCACCTAACTCTGGCTTCTTGCTTTTGCAAGGACAAGAAGAAAGATCACCCTCTTGTGCCAGTATTCTGTTCTTTCCTTATAATTTCAGGGCATGTTGACACTTAACACTAGCAGCAGAAAATTCCAGTTGCCACTGCAACCATGATTGCAGTCGTGTGACTGCCAGAAGCAGCCACTTTTTTTCACCCCTTCCTCCCAAGTTGGTGTCAGAGACAGTTGCCCCACACACCCCATCCTAGTTATTTCACTGACTTACATGATCAGGGTTATTCTATTACTGGACATACAGCCCTGTGTCCATGGAAGACTACATACTTGCATCAACTAAACCTGCACAGTAGCAGCCATAGCACATACATGTACCCCTTGTGGACAGGTAATGGATGTGGATGCATAAAAATGGAGTTGGCCAAAAACCCATGACTACTGGATTAGTCTCAGGAAAGAAACTGTGTCTATTCTTCCCTCTTTTTGTACCCATGACTAGGGCACTCCCTTGCAATGCTAGAGGGCCTGCATTCTACGCCACCTTCAACCAGAGAAGGTTTAAATGAGGACCTCTTTTGTTCCTAGCATAGGTCTCTAATCAGCACAGCCATTATCCAGCTGCCTCTCTGCTGAAACTGAACCACTAGCATAGTCATTGCAAACAAGAATAGAGAGAACAGACACGGGGCAAAGTAGTGAGGAAACTCCTGCCCAGGGGCGGATCCAGTCTTTTCCAAAGTGGGGTGTGGAAAAGCCCCCTGCTCTTTACCCCCACCAGCGTGGGTAGACCACACTGTGGGAGCCTCTGGGGACTCTTAAAAGTCCCTAAGGCAGGTGAAAATCCCCTCTCCCTTCCCTCTTTCCTGCTCCGAGGCATGTCCCTCCCCTCCTCTTCCCCCACTCTCCACTGTGTGTCATTGCTGCTTTCTCCATTCCTTTCTCCAGAGCCAGCCAGGCTGAGCAGGGGCTGGGCTCAGCAGAGGAGGGGATAGCGGCAACAGGGCTGCTGGAGCGTAGTTCCTCCCAGCCTGCCCAGTTCCAGAACAGGCGGGCTGCCATTGCTCCCATCCCTAGCTGAGCCCAGCCCCCATACAGGGGGAAGCAATGGCTCTGGTGCTTTCCTACCCATGGGGCAGCAGGAAAAGGCAGGCAGAAAAATGGGGGAAAGAGAGAGGAGGAGGTGTGCCTTTGAGCAGGAGCCTCCTGTGGGGCTCACAAATCCAAAAGGGGGGAGTGCAGCCACACTACTGCACCCCCCTTTGGATCAACCTCTGCTCATGCTTCACCAAAGCAGAAGCCCTGGCTAGAACACAAGGAGATGGTCCACTCCTGGGAAATGAATAGCCCCCTTCAAGGGACTTGAAATGCAGGAAAGAAAGTAAATAAATGTGTTAAAAAAGATTTGCTGTGCATGAATTCCACTGGTTAAATGCTTAGTCATTTGGTTGCTCTGTTGGACTTTTCAGTAGGGATGCGATAATTAGAGAGTTAATTCAATAATAGTTAAGTTTTCCTTTAGGGAAATTAAATCAGAATTGGGAGAAAATGTTCATTACAAGGAATTGTGCTCCTCATCAGCAATGCTGACTTCCACAGTTTTGATCTGATTACTTGAAACCAAATTGAATATTTGTATTCATTGTCAAAAGCTAATTTACAACTCAGTGACTGCTAATAACATTTGAGGCAGTCCTAATATTGCTGACTAGGATTCCTATGAATTCTTATTAGTAATAAAACTATTCTATTAGCTCTTAACTATTATCCATAAAAGTGGTAGCTATTAGCAATTAATTTTAGTTGGGTTTTTTCATGGTGAATAATACGCTCAGAGGATCTGATGCTTCTCCTACTGAAGTCAAAGATGGTTCTGACTCTGGCTTCAGCAGAAGCAGGATTGTGTCTTACATTTTATACCTGACAGTTTGCTTGATCATCGTTCTTTGATTTGAGCAGGGTTTTTTTAACATAGCCCTCTTCCAACAATCTATGGGATAAATTCTATTTCACTCACCAAACTGAGGAGAAGGTCCTGGCTTACTCAGTTCAGAGGCTTAATAACCAGCTAAAAGGCTGCAAGCTTATCTGCACTCTAACCAGGTTACTTGTTCTCACAAAATTAAACTAGGAATTTTTCAAGGGAAGATGTTCTTGGGAGATCTCCATCACTTCTTGTTTGAGTGGACAGCCCAGCCTTCTTGGCAGTATTCTGTTTATTTCCCTACTTGTCTTGGTTGTAATGAGGTAATGCAGCCATGTGAGGAAATGCACAATTAAATGAAGTTTAACAGCATTATTTCCAATATCAGACAAGGTTAAGGGAGTATTTTGTTCAAAGTTTGCTTAATATATTATTTTATTCAAGTTCATTTACCCATCCCGGATAATATATTTTTGATACAGAAAAACTTAATTTGTTTAAAGTATCTGCAATGTTCACTGTTACTCTGCTGTCTTAGAAAGTGTGTCTGACCATACTGTCAGGTTCCCAGGTTGTAGCTGGATACCTGGTCTAGAGGTAAAAGCAATCAGGTCTCATGGTAGAGGTGACATCTTTTTTAGACCAACTAGATTTTTGCAAAAAAAAATTCTTTAATTGCAAGCTTTTGGGTACAAACACCCTTCTTCAGGCATAGGAGAAAAGATTGTAAAAGTTCTTCCGGGTAGAAATTTACTGCTCTGTGAAATATGAAACACCATAAAGAAATATAATTATCTCCTGTTTACCACCAAACAACTTCGGGGTAAACAGACTATTCCAACCTTTCTCTGAGCCTAATATGCATATAAAATGAACTGTTCCAAACAGGAGGCATTACCACACCTTCAACTCTCCTATAAAATATGAACTTTCATTTCTACCCAGGAGAACTTTTACAGTCTTTTCTCCTATGCCTGAAGAAGGGTGTTTGTACCTGAAAGCTTGCAATTAAAGATTTTTTTTTTTGCAAAAATCTAGTTGGTCTAACAAAGGATATCACCTCTACTATGAGTCCTGATTGCTTTGGCCATACTGTGTTGTTCTTGAGAGAGGCTGTGTGCCCTTCGATGCTACTTAAGTTAATGAGGGCTGAGGGCATTCAGCACTTCACAGATTTGACCTTTCAATGCAAGTAGCTCTGTTTTTTCACCTTTCATTTCTCTACTATGTGCAGGTGACCCTTCTGCTATATGACTCCACTAGGATGAGGCACCTGCTTTCCAAATCTGTCATGATTGATGATGACGATGACGACGAATACCCATGGAGGCAGAATGCTCACAAATACTACATCCATCTTACCCTCAGCCTCTTTCTCTTTATCTGGTTCATACTGGGGAACTATTGGGTGTTTTCTGTTTACCTGCCAAATTTCATCCCACCTTTCCACCAGCCCCAGGATTACTGTGACAAAATCCTGTACATTTTTGCAGTTGGTGTTCTCATTGTTAGCCATACTGTGCTAGTGCTGCTTATCTTCTGTAGCTGCTGCATATACTGCTTTTCTAGGTGCAGATATGCTGCTGAAGAAGACTAAAAGCCATATAAACTAAGCCACAGCTGTTAGGTAAAGGGCATAAAATGAAAAAAGGCAATAATTCACCAATGTGCATGTATTTATGCATATAGATGTGTGTGTGTGCGCATGCACACTCACGTGTGTGTGTGTGTGTGTGTGTATACACACACACACACACACACATACCAATAGCAGCCACAAAATGAGGAAATTTGTATAAGCCAGTACCATCTGGATCTCTGATTAGTGATTAGCATACAGCATAGTAACGTAAAATTGCTGCTATTGATGCCAATCTGCTCTTCTTTTAACTTTTACAACCATTTTATAACTGTTTGGGATTTTATTTGGAATGTCAAAATGTGTAGCTGAGTTCTGCAGATGGTAAACTTCTCTACACCTTATTCCCTATGTTCCCTAGGCTTTTAGGGACTCTGCAATGCAGGAATAATAATACTAATAAATGTACTGTACCAACTCCAAATTACTCAAATACTGTATCTTCTCACATATAACCTGTCCCCAAATATAATATGTATACTACTTTGGAAGGCCCCAGGAAGGAAAATGAATCTTAACTTGGTGTACAGGTAAATATCTGAGGGGATCTTTGGGGCTTGAGACTGGAGGATGGTAAGCCACATGCTGGGCTGCGGGTTGGGAGCCAGGAGCTGCATGCTGGGGCTGAGGGCTTGCGGGGGTTGGCAGCTGGGGTTCCATGCTGGTGCTGGGGGCTGTAGATCAGTCCTGACCCCATGACTTGGCCTGATACAGCTGTGGTGGCGCAGAGGACCATGCAGCGGGGCTAGGCCTGATCCAGCTACAGCATGCTGGGGGCTGCACAGCAAGGCTGGGTCAGTTCAGGCCATGGTGGCACTGGGGGGCTATGTGGTGTATTCAACCCTGTACACTGTCTCTGGAGTTGCATGACAGGCCTGAGAAAGCACATAGCCTGAGAGCCAGTGCACATGGGCTCAGACTCGGCACGCCACCTCCACCAAGCTGGTGGTGGGGAGTGATGGCAGCATTAATTGCCATGGCTCCCAGAGCCATGGCAATTAATACAGCCACTGCTCCTGCCCCCTGCCCTTGCTGCCAAACATCCATACCCATGGGGAGCCTTTTCCTTGCATATAATAGGCATTCCAATTTTACTCAATTGGTTTGGAGCAGGTGGAGTGGGGTTTATAGGCAAGAAAATACAGTAAATTTTAGGAGCAATTCTAATGCCACTTCTGAGCATGTAAGTGCTCTCCCTTACAGGAATACAGAGATATCTGCACATCTTGGGAAGGTGATCCTGTTCCTATAAAGGAAATATTACATATCTAAAGTGGGTAATAGAATCATTTCTACCCTTTAGGCAAGGGGTTTTGGTGATACCTTTCACTGGACAAGCTGTATAATCAAGGGGGATGTTGGACAAATTTTTGGGCACAGCGTATGAAGAAGGGCTCTTGGCCAACATCTCTCCCAACTATACAGTTGGTCCAATGAAACACACCATTGCCTGTCATAGATTTCCTGGGCCATCACGGCTATAACAATACTCCAAACCTACTTCTATGTTTCAGTCAGGTAACACAGAGTTGGTACTTGGTACAAGCTATTCTTGGGTCACCACTGGGTGAAATAGGTTTCTGCTCTAAATGATTTAACCAAAGCCACATAGTAAATCTGTGTCAGAGCTAGGCACTGAACCCAGATTTCCTGACCATCAACCACAAGGTCTGCCAGGCTTTCTAGGAGAAAAGGAGGAAGAGGAGTGTACAGGAGGGAAGTGTTACTGTCTCCATTTCTGTACAATATAATCTAACAGTAACCAGATAGCAAAAAGAAGTTCTTAAATACACAGGAAAATTGACATTTGTGGTATTTTAAATATACTATTTGACAAAATGATGTGGGGCATGATATTGGTATTGAATATAAAGTGTTTATTTTGACAGTGCATTGGTTGTGATTTAAGGGTGTCTGATTTGTTCCCCTTAATGGAGTACATGTGTAAATCTCTGTTCACTGAATGGATGTGGCAAAAGCAAAGGGTCAACTTTAAAAGCACCGGCATGCATGGTAGCAATTGTTTTGTGGTGTGTAATAGTATTAACCTGTTACTGATCTTGATGGACACTATTTGTATGATGATAAATGCAATATAAAGTGCTCTTTTTGGTTTTGCTCTTATGCAGTTTATTCCATGGCCAAAGCAGAGGTGTTCCCTCTGCCCACATTTAACACCTAGATAATGGAGTGTGGACATGTTGTTTGGATATGCTCCTTCATTGAATATGTGACCAGTGCTTTCCTCCTTGTACCATAAAGGAATGCAAAATTAGGTCACCTGTAAAAGGAGGACATCTATCAATGAACCTCTGCTTGTGATTTAGCAAAAGCTCAGAGTTAAATCTGATCCATTTTGTTTCTCATTGTATGACCAAGACTGCAGTCAGTTTAAAGTCTTCCACCATCAGCCATAGCAAAGTTGGGGGCCACTATGTATGTAGTTCAGAGCACAGCTTAGCCCTTCTTGATTTTACATCAATCCATGGCCGAAAGAAAGGCCTGTTACAAAAGAAGCACAAGTTGTTGGAGCATGTATTTTAGAAAGGAGGTGGAACAAGGGATGTAATTATCTGGCAAGAGCCTTGGAACTAAGTTATTATTTGGGCTGCCTTCCCCACTGCTGGTAGATGTAGTGCATGAAGTCCTAGAGGTAGGATGGAGCAGAACATTCTCCTGCCCTTAAGTAGATACTCCAAAGGAGATATAGTTGAACTGGCTGTACTTAAGAATGTAAGGGGCTTGTCCTCACAAGCAGGAAGGTGCATTTCCTGGGGACAACTAGCAGCAGCATAAGTATGTGCCATGGCTAGTTGTCCCTGGGCAATGCCCCTGCACACATGTTCGGTTATGGAGCAAGTTGTCCTGGGTAGATAGGAAAGGCTAGGGCCAGCACCTGGGCTGGCCTCAGCAGCCTTATCTGGTGCCCTGGGGGCCTCCTGGCGCTTCACTGGTGGTGATCCAGGTGCACAGAGCCTGGCTGGCAGCTGAAGCCTGGCTCTGGCCAGCCAGGCTCTGGTTTTGGGTGGCGCCCACTGGCGCCACATGTGCTGCCCCATGGTTTTTTCTGACACCAGGATTTCCCAGTATCAAAAAACAGTATCAATAGATTTCCCAGTACCAACACTCCCCTGCTGCAAATTAGCAGTGTGGGGAATACCTGTGTGTGCAGTTTGCCGTGCCGCAGATGGGTCTGCAGCACCACAAATCACATGTGCACGCTTGTCTGGATATGCCCAACGAGTGCTATACTGTGTAAGACTACAGGTCCATCTAGCCCAGTATCCTACGCTTCACAGTGTCAAAGTGGATTCTAATGGGAAGAGTGTATATGTGGGTCTTATCCAGACTGATCTGTCCCTTTTCCTTCTTCACTTACACTATTCAGAGGCCCAGGGAACCCTATTTTGTAAATTTCATCCCCACTATCCTGTTAAATATCCACTGATGGGCCTACCATGCATGAGTTTGTCCAATCCTCTTTCAGAACTTGTTAAATTGTCAGATGCTATAACATACAATGGGTTGTATTCGATTTGGATTCAGATTTGGCCTGAATCAGGGACAGTGATTTGATTTGTTGATTCGGATCACTATCCCCGATTCAAAGTGGCCGAATCTGAATCTGAAGATTCAGTGCTGATTTGGAGAATCAGTAATTTGGCCATAGACACAGCTTTAAATGTTTTTTCTACATACCTTGGGGTACCAGGCACAGCTTGTGAATGCTGTGATGCTGGGGTGGATGGAGCATCCCACAGGAGCATGCCCCCCCCCCCCCCCCCTCCTCC